CTGAAACCGCCAGAATCAATGGCTATCGCCGCCGTGGAATCACCGCCGGCGAAACGTAGAAGAATCGAACCTTCTTTAATCGAAGGACTTCCCGATCACATCTCCGAAACTTGTCTTTCACTCGTTAACCGTCCGTCGTTACTCGCCGCCGTCTGTTCACGGTGGCGCCGTCTCCTTTACTCAACGGAATTTCCTCCGTTTCCTTCTCTCTACACTCTCTTCTTCGATTCAACCTCCGATCCATCTCCGACTAACTCTCGGATCCGGTTCATGTGTTTCGACCCGGTATCTTCGAAATGGGATCCGCTTCCTCCTCCACCACCAGATTCACCTCTTCACCGGATTCTCTACCGTCATCCGTCGTATATCTCATATAATCTACCGATTCAGTGTATCTCCGCCGCCGGAAAACTCGTCGTCATCGCCGGAAGTAACAAAGAACTCTCCCCGGCGATTTCTCACCCTCTGATCTTCGATCCGATCTCATCAACCTGGTCTTCCGGTCCAAAAATCAGATCTCCGAGACGGTGGTGCGTCACCGGAGCTTACGACGGAGTTATCTACGTCGCGAGTGGTATAAGCTCGCAATTCTCAACAACCGTCGCGAAATCGATTGAGAAATTGGATCTAAACCGGGAGAAATTGGATTTAAACCGGAATAATTGGGAGGAATTGAGAGAGATGAGAGATTTACGGTTTAGTAGAGAAGCAATAGAAGCAGTTGGATGGAGAAAAAAGCTATTAATGGTGAATGTTAAAGGAAACGCGATAAAAGAAGGAGTCATATACGACGTCGTTAAAGACGATTGGGAATCGATGCCGGAGGAGATGCTGGTTGGTTGGAGAGGTCCGGTGACGGCGATGGAGGAAGAGAAGCTTTATTCGGTTGATGAAACGAATGGTAAGGTGAGGATTTATCAAGAGGAGAAGAGGGAGTGGAGAGAAGTTACGGTGGTTGATGGTGGTGAAGAGATGCTTAAAGGAGCTTTGCAAGTTACGGCGGTGGCCGGAAAATTATGTGTTGTTACCGGAGATGGAAGGATTGTTGTGGTGGATGTTACGACGGAGCCGGCGAAGATTTGGAATTTGGAGTTACCTCTAGGTCTTGAACCGGTTTCGGTTCATGTATTACCAAGAATGAACCGACCGGATATTTTTTGACTTTGTGAATTTTTAATAATTTTTTTCCTTTTCTATACAGAACTGAGAAATCTCTTATTTTAATTTGTTTTTCTGTGGAAAAGTGATATCTTGTCGTTATTTTATAATACCTTCAAATCAAAAGGCTTACATAAGAAATTTATTTATTTTAAAACAAAATTGCTCATCAGAGTTTTTATAGTAATTTGGAGTGTTCTTTTTGGTTTGGTTGCTTAGCTATGTTCCTTCTCTATCTTCTTCAGCTAGTGTTGCTGTCAATTGAGCTTGCCTTAGAATCTTATGGTTGTTGGCACAACTTTTACATCTTTTGGTTCTTGGAGAAGTCGTGGGAAGTTACTGGTTTAGAGTGTACACAGTAGTGTCGAGGATTCTATCTTTTTTACCCGTTGATACTCTAACTCATGTTTTTATGTTTATATGTTTTTGGTAGTGGTTTCTTTTGCTTCCGAAAATCTTGTTTTTTGAGGCTTAGTCTCTTAAAGATCCGGTTTAGTATTTCAAAATCGTATTCTAAAAACGTATTCCACCTTTGTATTTTTCTCGTGTATTTGAATGACATCTAGTGACATAAAAAAAAAGTTTTTACAGTAATTTTTCACGAAAGAATTTTTAACATTTTCATTTGGGTCGAGCCAACATACATGTTGTGAAAGGTATGAGGACATAGTAAAAAAGTGGAAAAAATAAAATAAAAAAGAGAGGAAAGAGAAAATTAAATCATAGAGTAAAACTTCTTACTAGTTTAAGTTAGAGAGATAATTTACACTATTTTTCTCAATTTTTAGCGTAAATGGACTGAATTCAAAATATAGGTATTGACTAGAGGTATTTAAACTAGAGGTATTGAACTGAA